AAATTAAATCAAAACGAACATTTATCTGAGACAGCATATGTAAGTCAACGTTTTTACCTTATTTTGGACGAAAGGCATCGATAGAAACGTTTTTTTCAGGCAAAAAAATCCAAAAAAGTGCCCCCAAAAATAGCCCACTAACCCATTCGCATCGAGGTTATCCTGAGACCGCAAAACTGGAAATTAGACAAATTTGGCTACTATGGGGTGAAATGGCGAAAAAAAATATCGTCCTTCGTTGTTACATCCCTCTCGCCGATTCGTTTATCCATACCATGATTTAAGGAGTTCAAACACAAACCTGAGTGGAGAGGGAGAAGAGACACGGGATAGGGCATCATGTTAACCTAACACGTTCTTTTTCATTTTGTAGATACTACAGGGATTAAGATTTCAATAAAGTATGCATGGAAATGGCAGCAATTTGACTTTCCCCCAATCAGAAGACAACCTTTGTTATCTRTTGGAACTTTACGACCTGACTCGACCATTATCAGACGTTTCTGTGACAACGCTGAAGACAACAATAGCCGTCAACAGCATTATGTTTCCTTTTGTCTTTTTGATCAATCTAATGGTAATCTGGGCAATACTTGAAGATGAAGATCTACGGTCTGTTTTGCACAATCAACTCATCGTTTTGCTGGCGTTGTCGGATTTACTTATAGGAATGATATCGCAGCCTCTTACAATTGCCGTTCTTACGTTCGCGCTTTTGGGAAACACGGTGCCTTGCAATCTAAAGATGGCCTATGCGACAATTGCAAAGCTTCTAACTGCTTGGTCGATGGTAACACTTACCGCCCTAAATATCGAGAGATATCTTGCAATTCAACATCCATATTTCTACATTGATCCTATAAAAAGAAGAAAGATTATTGTCGGTGGAGCAGCACTTTGGCTTTTAATTCCAGCCCTGATCTTAAGTGCTCATTTGGCACCTCCTGAGAAGAAAATCTCGATATGTAGGCTAATTTTCTTCATTTTGGCTTCGAGTTCTTTTATTATAGTCGCTTTCTGTACAGTTAAAGTTCAGATTACAGCTTACCGCCATCGAATTGCTCTTGAAAAGCAGACTGCAGCCGCCGCGAATGCACAAAAGGAGGAATATAAAAAAATTCAAAGAAAGGAATTAAGGCGATGTTTTACAATGCTTTTGTCCGTTGTGCTGTACTTCGCTTTAAATGCTCCACGGATTACGGTCACCATGATAAATTCGGCAAGAAATCTTACATTTGCAAGGAAAACCATAATTTCTATTCCGGCAACAATCTCTATTACTATTTTATATATTCAGGCCTTAGCGAATCCCATTCTGTTCATCATTTGCCTGTCATACGTTCGTAAAGGAGTACACAAGAAAATGTGGAATTTGATCAAGTTTTTCAGGTGCAAAACGAATGCACAAGTACATCCTACAAAAGACGAAAATTGAAAAATTGCTGATTATTGCGGTTTWGAACCTGAACAACCGCGCGCRATAGGACAAGAAAGAATATTTAAGTATGGTTTAAAACACGAGAGAGAGTGTTTTAAACGGCTTCAAAAACTCCAACACTAATTTGAAACTCAAAGCCGTTAAAGTTCTTGGAAAATTRSCGTAAAAATAAGATTTAAGATAAATGGGGCAAACTGRTCATGCGCGAATCACTTTACAAAGCACTCTTGTCATCCCACATTGAATACGCATAAAGAAAAATAAAAGTGATGATGGCTGTTTTACTGAAATATCTGATAAAGGTCACCCTTGTTAGTATTCTTTATATAGTCGATTGACAAAACGTCGTCGTCAACCGGACTTCGTAGCACGCGACCAACGCGAACAGGTTTCTGGGTAAAAATTAATTAAATGGCACGACAACGCCTTCCAGTATAGTGTCAATTGCCCTATTTCATTATGACGTCACAGTATGTTTACATCGGAACACGATGCTCAAAAACAGTGGAAATGTGGACCCATTTATATTGTCTACTAAAGTAGAACCTCAATGAATCACGTTTTGATATATATCATGTATAAATGATTGTTCATGTACATTTTATTTGAAATGTAGTCACTCTGATCCCTTCTGGCGACCATAATCCTTAGCGTTAAAACAATAGAATGTTTTGATGTGATGTCATAATGAACTAGGGCAATTTGTTTTAGCTTTTCATTCTSTTTTTTAAGAACTCGAAGACAAATATTGAACGTTGTTTAATCTTGASAAATTATCCTTTAGCATGATGGAATACAATATGAGATGCAATGAAATCGACATCACATGCATACATAATTAAATTCCCKTCATTTGGAAATTTTTGTCATACATTATGTGTCAGTTCTTCCAATCACAAAGGCCTCAAATCTCTAAATTGCCAGTTCATTGATTTTTACCCAGAAACCAGTTTGGGCTAGTCGCGTTTCGTGAAACCCGGTGGGCGACGACAACCTTTTGTTAATCGAATATATAAAGAATACTATTAAGGAGTGTTTTATCAGATATAAAGGTCCATGCATGTGACCGAATAGGCTCATTCTATTGGCCTAATAACTCATTAATTATGTATGATTTTTTAAGAAAATCAAAATTCGAAAAGGCTTCGATTGTAATGATGAATATTGTATCAACTTCAGGGCCGTAACCAGAACTTAGAACTACCGGGGGGGGGGGGGGGGTGCACATCTGATAAAACCGGACCATTATTGACCTTTTCCGCAGTATGTAATGTCGGAGTGGTTTTCAAATCCCATGAAATAAACAACAGCTTATTACAACTTATAACACTTATGACCGTTTTTGATCATCTTTATTATTTGGGATTACACGTTATTACTACACCTTATACAAGGTCATTCATGGATTCAATTCGAATCCAGTTCGTTTTGAAAAACAAATCCGGCCGATTCATGGATAAATTCGACAAAATAAATTATATGTTTTTGCACTAAATTCATTAAAGAATCTAAAACAAGGATTCGTGTAAGATTCATGGAGATAGATGAGTGGACCTTCAGCTTCTCTGAGTGGTGCACGTGCACACAGTGCACCCCCCTGGTGACGCACCTGACCAGACTTAATCGTATTTAAACGTATAGTAACCAATGTACATTTTTGAGCTCCACTACTCCACAATATTCGAATTTTAAGGTAATTGTTTCTCCATCATAATCAATCTGAGATACCGTTTCTAAAGATCTGCAAACTTAATAAGACAGATACATTACCGACGCGCAATTAAATGAAATAGTATCTGGAAACGGGCGATTTGTAGTAAATATATGGTATCAAAAATATGCTAATTAGTTTTGAATGCTCAAGAGTATGTTTCAGTTTGTTTCAATATCCACGAGTAACTGGTTTCACTTAATATTGCAAAAATCCCTTCGACAACGGCATTTATTCCCGAGGCAAGAAGAGCTTAAACAAGTGAACCAAATTATAAGATTTGTTTTCGTAATGGTCTTTTTCAAGATGGTATTTTTTTCCCTTATGGGTAGTGTATTAAGTCATCGCACGGGCCTTGGGGCTAGTACCGGGAGGGAAAATGAAAATGTAAAATATTTGCGCCATTAACACGTATCGAGAGTATTTCGAAACATCAGTAGTTTAACCACAGAAAATGCTGACCGCTTTGTAATTGGATATTTTAGAAAACGCTTTTCAAACTGGATACCGGCTTTATGTTCTGTTTCGAAATTATCTGGGATACGTGTATACGTTGAAATAGTCTAATTGCCTTAATTGTGACACAATTCCTATCAGAGGAAAACGTCCAAAAACTTAATAAATATCAAATATACTGTTTCATGGAAGTTCTACTCTTTACAGAAGTGCTTAAATTGTAACCAATATCAATCTTAACTTATGAGAATGTACAGCTCAAATACTTGACAATGACATCGGACGATGTCAGAACTAGCGTTCAGAGTTTTTGTTTTTTGTCTACAACCATCGGATGCAACACGCCTAAGTCACCCTTACAGCATGTCAACAACTAACAATTAATATTAAATCTCTATATACGACAGTTGTAGCTATGTTACAAAGACAATTAGGTCTGGATACAAACGGTGGTCGTATACGCCTATTTCAAAAAATGTTGTCGCCACGAAACAGTCCACGGTCTTAAAGAATCCCAACCAACCACAATACAGYGCGCGCTCGTTTTAATGTTTAGATTTAGGTTTTATTTCTAGACATAGAGTAAGCAATCTAAATCTTGTTTTACTGTCCAATGAGAGGCTACCGAGTATTTTACATATCTAGCTACAATATATCTGWGATTAAATGTCATGTTTGTTTGTTTATGTTAAATTTTTTCCAACTTCCTCCACAATAACACGACTTCAGCCATCTTTGTTCCCATGTTTTAAGTACCAAGTTTTGGCTGATTGGTCCACCTAGCTGCGATACACCTCTACATCTAAGAAAGATAAAAATAAATGCAAATATTCAATATCAATAACGGGAGCAGACGTAACAACACCTCCAGTTTCGAGATCTTATGTGTGCAGTCTTAACCTCGAAAGCATGTAATATATTCTTTTATTCAGCAAAGAATCTATTGTAATACAAAAACTCTGTGTACAAAGAAGGCAATAAAGAATTATGCTTGATTGAAGCTAAGCTTGCACAAAAGAGAATTCGAAACTAGAGTATAGGGCTCTTCACCGGATAAATGATATAGAAATGGCCAACCAGACTATACAATCGACAAAAATAGTATAAATGCACCATTCAGCTAGGTTCAACGAACGCTCGGTCCATCCCCTACCCTACCCCCAAAAGGGTGATGTTGGCATCAAGAGATCATCCAGMAAGTTTGTTTGATTTTCAAAACGCAACTGAGAGCAATGGGTCTTTGGGGGAGGCAAGCGAGTATAYAAATTCTGTGATTTTACAATTCTTGGCGTGTAAGTTACGTCATCACCGCCATGTTGTATGAAAGTCACAAAGCATGGATTCCTCATTAGTTTCTCTTGCTCATTCATCCAACATTGCGGCGATAGCTTTGTTCTTTATTTCTCAGGGAATTCCTGGTCATGTGGTTGCATATGAAGAATTCTTTTCACTGTCTTTTATAACTGTTTTTTTTTCTTATTACTTGACGAAGACAACAGCAACAAGCTACAGAATTCCTAGTCTGACCGGCTTGCGATATCTCAAACAGCCGTAATACATAAATCTATAGATACAATTAAAGGACGTACCGTGTGCACTGTCTGAGCCGGACATCAGGATCAACAAATACTCTTCTAATTACATCTATGTAATAACGRCTTTCTGGTGCAACAGGAAGGACAGCTGATGCGAATGGGTGATASCTGTGACACACACTAGAACCGGTTGGTTTGTTGTTAAACTGGTATATAACWGGCTTGACWGGTCCACTRACTGGCTTTCCAGTTACCCCTGAAATTTGAATAATAGGGAATTTTACCGACTCCATATCRAACAAAATAATAAATGAAATTAAGAAAAATCAATTTATATAACGTAAGGGATATTGAATAGTGTGTGCGGGCATTTACAGACTCAAGCATAGTCTTTTTGTTCATAAGCGCGTGGTGCATCAAGGGAAGAGCTTATCCTTCCCATCACCCCTTCAAGTTGTTGCAAAACAGAACGAGTCAACAGCATTTGCAAGCAAAGTATACAACATGGAATACGCGATTAATAGAAATCAAAAAGCGTGCGAGCAACTTTAATAGGACTACTCCATATCCCTCATGAATACACATTAACCATAGAACACATCAAACAAACCTCTATTTAAGTTTGGTGCCTTCATATTGAGAGTAAAAAGTTGGTTTGGTAGAAGTGGAGAAGCCTCAGCTACAAAGAAAATGAACTGATTAGCAAGCGCAGCCAGGCGTTCCTCGCGGCGCTCCGAGGGAGTTTGGGGCCGGTGACCGGCGGGTAAATTCTTCATGGTCGTTTTGTCGGGACGTAATAAAGTGGCCGTGATAACAAGGTGGTTTTATTAGTAGGTGGTTGAGCTCCACTATTTAGGTGGACGGATTACAAACCCTGCAAGTCTRAAAAACTCGCTCTGGCCTCGATTCCATTATGACGAGTGCGGGGACTAGACTGTCCATTTTAGCGGTTGATATCAGTATTTTTGTCCCACCTTTTGTCCCCCTCCTTCAACCGTGCTCAAAGTACACACAGTGTTTGTCTTTCATGAGGGGTACACCCTACCTGCAAGTCTGTCTTCAAATTCTTGTCCTTCTGAAGACTGCTTGCAATGAATCCACATCTTGGTGATAATTTTGAAAAGCAAAGCCAGGGAATCTTTCTTGTCTGCAAAGGAACAGAGAACATAATTTATATAACAATGGGCTACATGTAAGAAATTAAATCTATTACATAATTAACTCTTAAGAGATCTTTTCAATACTCGAAGACTGTAAATCCGTAACTCTGCGAGCCCATGTAATATCCTCCACATAAAAGTAATCATTAATCATATATACACCTAATTGATGTTACACAAACGTTTTCATTTTTTTCGGCCCAAACACATCCTATAATACTAAATACTTTGTCCATTCAAATTGTTTTCTTCGCCGCCATATTGGAGACTGTGACATCACAACGTTACAGTGCTACACGTGAGCTCTTGTTGCATTGTTTTGCAAGACAATGTTATGTGCCTATACAGAACGATGTACGACATCGAAAGATTCCGAATAAAATGGAGTTTTGACGTTATGACGTCACAAGATCAAATATGGCGGTACGCAGAATGTTAGAATCGCAACTTTTGACAATTTTGAATGGAGTGTTCAGAATGAACAACTCACTAGAAAAAGGGTATTTTTGAAGTTACAAAAGGACTCGTTTTTGTATGAAATATGCCTATTTCGGGTGTTTGCCTTTCTGGTAACATTAGATTTCTTTCTATGTACTGGTGAAAATAGACAAAATCGGGACAGACCTGCTGAAGGTGTTATGGAAGGTACTATAGAWGGCATCGTTTGACCCCACAGACGAATCAAAATCAGCATCTCTTTCAGAATTCCAAGCACTTCATGGTTACGACCAAGGCTTACCTAAAAAAAAAACAGGTTTCGGATGCAAGGATATGTCAAAACGCTAAACTAAAACCTACAGAAGTTTTGGATGTTGGTAGTAAACCGAGTGTCYAATAAATCCTTTCATCTGATATAATAGTTTCACTGAAATGGTGACATCTCATCCACGAGTTAACGTACCCCTGGAACTGAGTCTTTACCATGATGAGTAGTAAACGCAGCGATGATAAACATGGCAAGGTCTGTAATCCAATGAATCAAATCCCGCACGGCTGTGAGAGTTGCTGAAAAAAAAAACACGCTGAATGAATTCACTGTAATAACTGCACAGGTGCAGACGAGGCGGGTAAGTGGGTGGTGCTTGTGGTGCTTATGGTTTGATACTCACACCGAGGAGTCCATTTTCGAAATAAATTTATTAATAAGTTAAATTTTGTACAATCGTAGGTTAATGACAATAGATCGATTCTATGTATGTGATCTCATTAAAGCCAGCTTTAATCGGGTACGAAATTAAGACGAGAATTGGCTGGACTGGACTGGAGCGAGTTTGGAACCCAGGCTGAAAAGGGGAATACTTCTTATTAATAATCGTTACAATATTCCCGTCAAATGCGGTTTGATTACAAGCGGTCCAAAATTCCAAGGCTAATTTGTATTATAACATGAAAGACATYATTGATACAGCCATGGTCAAATGTGAAATGACGTTGATCAAACATTTATTTGGCATGAGCTAAAGGTCTATTTTCGTTGCCATATTTCTTTTTATTCTTTGTCCGCTATCTAAAAGAGAGGGAATGGAGAGAATTACTGATTACCAGCTTCCACGGCATACTCCTTGGCATCACTGGGTCCAATGAACTTGTCGATGTCCATCTCTGACGGTCTTCCAAGAGTACAAGTTTCTATTGGATATTAAATACGCATAGTTACAACAATACAACATAAGCCATTTTACAATGAAAGATGGGAAGTACTAAAAAAATAGTGGCGATGTCATCATATGAATAAGCATAAAGTACTTATGACGCCTTACACAAAAAAAGCAAATAATTGAATGGTGAAATATTTCAGTGTTGCGTGTTTGAGATTTTACAACATGCTAATGATAATGACGCCATGGAAGGCTTCATTAGATAAACGAACTTTGAAGCACTCGCTTAAAAATAACTTCATGACATCAAATTTATCGTAGGCAATGTACAGAATTCCTATAGTCCGAGATGGTGATTTTAAATTAAAAAACATTTGAGCCACTGCTTCACAACTCAAGGACGCAACACTGAAATGAAGGAATATTWCACCATTCAATTATTTAGCTTATATAGAATCAGTTACAGAGAATCAGACATAATTGTGTCAGCCGTCATAGATACTATAAGGACAATAGTGACAGAACTATGAAACACTCAAACGGGTCTGTCCTCAAAGCCCCACGTGCATGCTGGAACCTTGGTGCGTTTTTTTTTCTAAACGAAAAAAGAATCGAAATCTTTCGAATGTAGCTACGACAGTGSTCGCAGGGTAGAATTATTCAAGCTGTAGTTTTAAAACATTTTAAGAATAAGAATTACTTGTTAGGAGTTCCATGGTGCTGTGCGAGCATGAAGGAAGGGATCTGAACAACATGGCGACTGCATAAAGAAACTGTGCTGCATAGCAATCCATTGCTTGACCTGAACCATCCTTCATACACCTAAAAAAACAAGAAATATAATAATAAACACAAAATAGGTTGTAGCTGTAAATGTATATAACTTCAACAATTTTCCGGTGTTAAGCCATCATACAATTAAGAAAGATAAGGAAATAAAACACACGGTTTTGCTGTTATTAATGTTTATTAACGTTTCGGGTCATCATGACGCATTTATCATGCAAAATAGCAAAACCTTGTGTATTCTTTCCTTATATTATATTTTCTTAATATTATGTTTTTCTTGACATCTTCTCATAGAGTCATACAAATGAGTTATGTAGAGAATATTACATGTGCGCGCGGATTTTATCGTCGAGTGTTGAAAAGAGTGAGTGAGAGATTTTCAAAACGAGAAGATAAATTCGTATCATGTAATATTCTGTTTATCATATTTTAGTATGGCGATGATTTAAAAAAATCATCATCATTATTGATATTSATGGTCTGCCATTTTGCTCATTTTTGGTTAAAAATCCCAGAAGCAGTTTATGACTAGAGAGGCTTCAAATAATATTCCCCTAATTTTTCATTTATAGACCCTCATCGCTCTACATCGGATTCCTGGTAAACCATGTACCGAAATCTCATTTTCGGTTTTTATTGTATCTTGAAGCTTCCAGTTTCCTCTCTCTGTTATTTTGCGCAGCCAATCAAGTTGTTTGAAATCAAAACGTTGCGTAGAGATTAGGACCGAGTCCCTTTCATTATCTGACGCAGTGAACACATAATACACAGGTAACCCAACGATAACACTACCTGTAGAGACTAGCTTTTAACGCCATCATTTTAGGAATTAACACATGCTGCTGAGGTGAGTTGTACTGCTGGATAAGTTGTTGTTGTTGCAGATTGAATTCATCGAATAATTGCTTGAGAACAGATTCAGCTGTGTCTAAAAAATGAATGTCAATGAATTAATTACGTAACTTATTTTCTCACACATAATCCATGTTCTAGGCCGAAGGAATAGGACCACACAGTACATCAAAGAGTAGGAATGCTTGACATTTCCTTTAGAGAAGCTTTGGTGAGCGTAAAAAACTACGGAACTGTGCTGTAGTCATGATCCTTTAGTCAATTCAATGTTTTCAATAATGTGTCCGTGTCAATGATTTATGCCAATATGCAGTGACATGGATGAATCTACTCAACTTGTCAAAATCAACTTTAAACTTTTTAGAATGGTGGAAACTAGCGATTAACCTATGTGGGCTGCGTCAGTGTTTATAAAGAAACAGTTGTGTAAAAAGATAAATTGAACACAGTAGAAAAGTAGGTGAAACAACTTACTGACGTTTTGGATGTTTTTAAAGGATTAAAATCCTTCGTCGAAGTAAAGTAAAGTGAAGTGAAGTGAAGTAAAGTAAGATAAAAGAGTCTTTACTCCGACGAAGGATTAACGTCCGAAACGTCAGTAAGTTTTATTCACCTACTTTTTTACGGTGTTAAATTTATCTTTTTACACAACTTTTTATATATTTTTTAAATTACAGGGTCTCTAGGGGGAAAATTAGTTTGCCACTCCTACTTGGATAAGATGACACACTCACTTGGATATGACTCAGAAACCTTTTAGGGGTCATTATGAATTTATATTAGTATCACTATCCTTATATTAGGACGGCAGGATATAGAACACAATTTTAAAACATGGCTGACATGTCTCAGTCTAGTAACATAACAAATGAAAAAGTGATATCTCAACTCGTATCATTAGATACGTCACAGCGGCCATCTTGGTTGAACTTGGGAGGATTTATCATGATATGTATCTAACGTTCATTCATCCAACATGGATGCCAATSTTTTGTCTGTTGAATTTCATGGGAATGATAAAAAAATTGATTCTTTTCAATACCTGTTGGAGCGCCGAGATGAGCTACCAATAACACATCCCACCATTCCCATCCAGTAACCAAACAGTATTCCAGTAAATCCACYAAACTTCTTTTCATACGATTCATAGCCATGCCATCTGATGGTAGATATAAACACCACTTTATTATCACAATGTCAAAAATTCTTTGCTATGTCAATAACATTTGATAAGCTATTTATTCAGTGACGTTGWAAAGTAAAATTTTTTCSAAAATTTGAGAAAACGTTTTTTATGCAAATGATTTTGTTGTGGTCTACGGGACATCGCAAATGGGATTGACTGTAGACCATCCTGTAAGGCAAGCTTTACATATAGCTATTTCAAAAAAGGTTGTCGGATAAAATGGCGAATGTCAATGGTTGAACGGCGATTGTACGACCGAAAGTWGTCATGGGTTTTGCTAGCTCTGAAAGGCAATAACAACTAATTTGTACTGTAAGATGGTCTGTGGTAAAGATTGGCTCCATTTAGTCTCCATTTCTATGTAAGTTGAATCCAATAAGTGCAATTTTGTTTATCAAAATAAAAGTGTAACCAAAGTCCCTTTTGGTCGTGCAATCTACGTTCGACAATCGGCGTTCGCCGTAATCCCCGACAACGTTTTTTGAAATAGCTGTATACTTGTGAGAGTTTTGTACCTGYTGAATGATGAACCAACTTGAAAAGAGAAATATCACCACCCAAAGTAAGTCCCAAGAGACAACAACAGCATGGAGAGAAATGCATTGCAGCCATGTTACCAATTAAGTGAGAGCCTGAAGAAGCTTGTGCTGTTCTTGCCTTCTTGCTTACTGAAGAAAGATTTTTTTATYATCAAGAATAATAATCCCATTTATACATATCAATACATGAAGCAAGACAGGAAAAAAAAGTTTTTGCTTCTTAGTTATTTTTCGGTTTGTCGTGAGCCTTCCGGAATCGGAGAGCTAAAAAAATTCAAGCAAAGTGTAAATTGAGACTGATTCTTGGAATAGCCCTTTTTGCGTGTAATACCAAAAAAGGTGTGTTGGGTGCTAATCGTCCTTCATGGCATAGCCTGAKDMTCAGGCTATTCATGGCAGCACAGTTGCTGAATTGTTAAAGACGCATCTCAACGCGCTCTCAAGTCGAAGTGCTATATTACAGACACATTTTACATACACGTACACATAGCCCCAGGGGCGGATCCAGGGGAGGTGTTTTGGGTGCAGACGCAGCCCCCCTTTCTGGATGACGTAATCTTTTTATATATCAGTATAAACGTTTTTTCTTCTGTTTATACTCCATCTGTACTTTTATCAAAAACATGAGTAGCATAWACAACATGTGTCTGCCACTATGCTGTTTAACAATCCATAATTTGAGTATGTGTAGTCAAAGATACGTTCCAATAAAAGTCAATTTGCTTCCAGTCAAATTGTGCATAATTTTCTTGCTCTAGACAATACGCAGCTAACGAAAATGATGAGATCCATTTGCTATACTTAGCTGGACCCGCCCCTTAGGCGTGCTGTCGGCTATGCGCTTCGGAGCACAGCAGACAAAAATGGTTGGTTTTTATGTTAACTGTACAACTATGCAGCACGAATGCAATGCAATACAAATCGAGACTTMCACTTGATTATGTCAGTAGTTTCACGATGATTGTATTAAAAATTATATGTACTGTAGCCAAATGATTTGTTTCTAGTCAGTGTTGAAGGCAAACCTTCTGAGGATGTAAACGTAGTTATTACMCTGTCTTCTATTTTGTTTATTAGTTCAGTGTTTACCTGGCTCAATAGCTTGGGAGGATGCTTTCAACTGGTTGTTCATAATAAGAAGAGAATGACTAAAGTTGTAAGCAAACAAAAACAGTTAATGAAAAGAATATTTTAATTAAAAATCAGGAATTTAATATCCCTTTATTGAGGCAAGTTACTATGATTTTAGATGGGATAGGGTACCCCAGAGTAGACTTGTTGAAATAAATACCACTAAATACTAATAAATTATCAAAATTGTATTGTTTTCAATAGTTTTGTTACCATCATAAAATGCTACTAATAGGCGATTTGCATTATGGCTTCATTTACTACAACTACCAGAATGCTTTGCCCACTTTCTTTTGTAATGCAATTAGTGCCAATTGTTTTACTAATCGCTAAGGGGATTAAAAATCTGAATAACAAAGAAAATGCGCAAGGCTTTCTGGTAGTTGTAGTAAAGTTACGCCAYCATGCAAATGGCCTATTAGTAAACACTTTTAGTGTTTTGTACTTGAATACAGAAATTCATCTTCATATCTTCACCAACTAACTACATTAGTCATATTTTGTACCTGTTGATTAGTTCAATCCGGTCATCGTCATAACTGACAGCAAGGGCTGTAGAAGGCAGCGTCATCATCTGTGATGTTTCCACAGTACCACAAGGTAGTCGTGGTAACGCTAGGGATACCATTTGAGCACCRTCCATGTGAGATGCGCAACATGACCATCTCTGTGTTGATTGAATACCATGAATGAATAATGAACACCACGTTATTTCTTAATGTATATAATATACTCAGTTATACTACAGTTAGCAGGGGCATGTGCAGGGGGTTTCRTGATGGGGGGYTCCAGCTTTGYGGCTTAAAGATTGTGAGGAAGGCAATTGACAGTAAAATAGGATGAGTATTGTTTTATTAATTGGATTTACAMTRAACWAACTGTTGGACTATCTGAAAATGTGTTGCATAAAGCTATTAATCCACAAATGTTGTCTATAATTATTTCAAAGACTTTGCCTGCAAAAGAAGGGGGTACTATGGAACCCCTGGAACCACCCCCCTGAACACATGCCTGGTCAGTACTAACAGTAACTTACAAATGTTGTTGGTTGCACACCAGATTGAGTACGAAATGGAGTCTTTTGAAATTTYTCTACTTTTTCTTTCTTCATGTCCCATCTTTTAATATAAGTACCAAATGGTCCTGGAAAAGAATTGTTGTAACACTTGTCTCATTAATCATGTACTGTACATTTTGTCTGCACAAGCTGACAACAGTTTTTGACAGCAATAACAAGGTAGGATTAGTGTAAGCAGCATTTTTCAGCATCCCTAAAAATCAAACTACTCTATTCTTCAAGGTTTTAGTTTATAGTCTGTTGGTGAACAACTACATGTAGATAACATTAATGAGTAATGCCCAATAAAAGTAATTACAAGGCAACTTGAATTAGCAATAGATAAACAACATAAAAAAACATTAATCTAATCATTGAAATATAAAAAAAATGGTACTTAGATGTACAATGCACAACAATTTTATTTACAGAATCACTGACTACTTTCAATATTGTGTACTAAAGTCTAATAAACAAGAAGAAAACAATGGAACAAACCAGTAGTGCAGACAAGAACAATTTCACCAGAATTCTTAGACAGGAACTGGATGTCACTAACTGTAYATTGTTTTACTGCAAAAGAGATAAACATGAATTTAGCAATAATAAATGCTCTAACTGACCAATCGATATCACAAATAAATCTAAAATTTGAATAAGACTTTGAATTATTCATTTACACACTGAGTATAAATTGTACCTTGTTGAAGCTCACTTCTTGAATGTGGGAACAAGCAAGGCAAGGAAAAGGTTTCTATTTGACATGAATCTTACGGAAGTTAAAGAATAAAAGTTGTACATGTATAGGAGGCTCAAATGAATGAAAATACCAATTAAACCCTGTCCATAAATATATAATAATATCCTCACAGCAAGCACATACATGCACAAATATGTGATTGAACAAACTTCAACATAGAAAACATCAACATAGGATACACTTTGGCATAGCTTTAATTTGCACTCTGTAAAACTGAACAGATGTAGATTTGCCTCCATCATTTGCAGCCACAATGACTTTGCCCTCTAAGACAGAAATTTGTTTACGGTTAACTATACAACAAAGATTTATACTGATGTTTGTCAGGCTAAGGCATCTTAACAAATAATATAATAATAATAATAAATAATATATTACAATGAGCACAATGAAAGCATAAAAATATATCTATTATATAATTATATTCATAAGTTTGCTTGGAGCTTGCAATTTAATAATAAGGTCTCATACTCATATTTTATACACAAATCAAGTAATTCAAAAACTCACGGTTGGTATAAGCCAAATCAGCAACTGCTATGCGATGGCGTGCTGCTGACAAACTTTGTCTGGTTGTTTTCACTTCAGGTTTTGTTGTTGTTACACAAACCTATAAAAAAATATTAACTGACTTCTCAAAAATATGCATTTATACA